CAACAAAAAAAATAATAATAATAATAAAGAAGTTCCCATGGAAAAGGCTAACATGAGAAAGCAAAAGGAAGCGTTCAAAGCTGATCATACTGCATATGTCAAGACTTGCTATGCCTGTCTATCTATATGTGATAAGTATTTTTAATTTAATACATAAGAAATTCAAAGTTACCTGAAGTAGCTACGATTATCAGTAACTTTCTGGATAGCAAAACCTCCCACCACATCAATTCGTACTACATCCAGTGGAATTGGTATTCCATCTTTTGAAAAACCATGAGTGCTTCTATCAACACTATCTAAGTCAGAGATCTGGAAATAGAGCTTGCTTGCTATCAGTTGCTTTAATATTGATGAGAACAAATATGATAATGGAAATATAGATAGTTATCAAAGATATAATCATTGGCAAATGTCATGGACTTTCACAAACTTACCGAATTTAGAAGTACTACAATCAGACCATCTTGAAAGTACTCAAATACAAAGAAATGTATAAGGGCCTCCCTTGCTGACAACGGCCATGAAAGCTTCATCCTTTCTTCCAAGTAGTTAAACATATATCAGCACATTATTAGAGACATAATAAGAAGAACAAAATAAACATCTATGGACTGCTATAGGATGACAAACCTTACTAGACATATTTGTTCACCGTCTCTGACCTTCTGCAAGCACTCGGAGGCTACAATCTTGAATGTTGGAATTGTGGTTTGCGGCCACCTGATGCGAAAATGGGGTGTATTAACACAATTTGTTGCTTGACATTTATCCACAACGAGTTTTTGCATTGATAGTAGAAACGCACATTAAATAGAAGTGAAAAAGGATAAGTAGAAATATCCATTAAACAGAAGTGTCAATACAACATCAGACTATCCCTCAATCCCAAAATCGCTGGGACAATCCCTTGAACTAGTATTCAACGAACATTACTGTATCACCAATGGATATGTTAAAGATAATTTTGAACCTCTACTGACATTTTATTTAGCATTAAGCTTCTTCGAGCAGATCCATTCTAGAGCTTTCATATTCACATTTACTGCATTAAGTCTACCAGCAGCTTTAATGTGCATCATCACCTTGAAAAAAGGTAAGAGCAAATGCTCCCCAATATAGACAAAACCAAGAAATTCCGGTTGTGCTACAAATACACACATATATTTCTGTGTAGTACTTTTCTTAAAATATATATGTGCTCTTATTATTTACCTTTTGTTTGTGCATTAACTACTTGGGTTGTACAGGTAATAAAGAGTATCTCTGAGCGGATGCTGCGATACAATTGTACTTCATGCACAATTTCTCCCCGCTCCCCCTAATGAATTCACCATGAATGTCATTCTCCGTGAATTGCTTCAAAAGCCACCTATCCACCACTTCTACCAGTCTCATATCTGCCAACTTATACAATTTCTCTTACTCGAATGCTTGATTTCGAACTTATGCAAAATTTGCTGATACAAATGCAATACCACCATTACAGCTAAAATTTTATAGTTCAAGCTCTGCACCGACTCCAGTCCCTTTGTGCCAGAAAATGCGAACATTTGTATTAAGAGTTTACCCAGACAATTATTCTTTAGGACATCAAAAGTGTCAGATTTTTATATCCTTATTTCACTCGTTGCTTGTGAAGATTATTTAGAAGCAGTGCAGCAAGCAGCTGCCTAGAAACTGATTTTTGTTGCATGGTAAACATGAGACAGGCTGCTTAAGAGTCTTTAGCATACTGGATACTCACCATTTCTTGTAGAGCTCTGCCCCCCATGAGATGCATAAACCTGAAACAGCCATTTCTTATCTCAAAAGTCGTCCAATACTAAAGCAACACGAACTTTCTACATGACCTTGACTGATAACCACTCCAACAGTGAATAAAATAGTTGAGATTTTAATTTTATCTTACAAACATCTGCTGGGCCATCTACATAGCCTTCAACAAGGAGAGTATGGAAAGGAGTGCCTTCTGGTCCCTCTCGATACATAACACGGTATTCTTCAGTATCTTGTTTTACCTGCAAAAGATGGAGAAACCAGCATTGCTCTCATATTAAATAACAGATGAGGAGAAATATTTTTACAATACATGAATAGTAACACTAAAAATTTCTGGCTGTCCAATAAAGCATCAGGCTTTGGTGCTACTAAAAACGAGCAACACTGATGCTTCAAATAAGTTTCGGATCCACAATCACATTAGTGAGTCAAGATTTTGAGAATTAGAAAAAAGATAATCTATAAATGTGATAGATAGCCTACTTTCCAACCACCATGTGTTGCCTCAGAAGACTTTGACTTCTCACCATCAGTTACAGATGCACTCCTTAACATGCTCAGGAAGTTTGCCACTTCCTTGGTTCTTCTCTCAACTAGATTATCACTAGATTCTGCAAGAGAAAAGGGGATGGGGATGGATAAAGGCATCTCTGCTTAGTATGTTTAGATGATATAAATGTTTTAGAATTAGGCAACTACCTATCAAAGTAAAATCCATATTCAAAGTGACAGAACAAACCTTGAAGATCACATTCTGATGAGCGTAGCATTTGATTCTTGACAAGGGGCTTAAGTAAATCATTGTTTACAAGATCATGAGACGCCAGCGTCTGATCCAATCTATCGCGGTACTGAGAGATGTTACCAGTGTCCCTCATATTTATCAAGGAAAACAGTACTGTCTCCTCTCTAATTCTTAATCAATGAATGAAGTGATTTGGTATATCAAGTATGGAGGGACCTACAAATTTATGAAAAATCATGTTTCAGAAAAGCTTCTCAGTATAGATGTATTTGTGTAAGTTAGTCACGACAGGAATTTGAACTTTTGACAAAATAAATTTATTATTCAATGGATATATATCTATGCCATTTTTTTATTCAAAGTTAAATATCACACATAAAATGGATTAGATACTTTATCTGAAAATTTGTCAGCAGGGAATTCAAGCAAACAAGGGAAAGAGCAAATCTCAGAGTATCCGAACAAGGTCCATAGGTTTGGTAAACATATAATAAATGTTGGGCCATCCAAGCAACTCTGAGAATTTGTGTACATAACATAACTAAGAAGTGCCAAAAATTTAAGACGTATAGGTTAAATAAAGATAGACATTTAGTACAGCCTGATCAGATATATAAAGTTGATTAAATGTGCAACTTCAGGGAAGTTATACACCACCTAATTGACTTCAAATAGAAACTCAATAGCTATTTCTTTCCTATCCAAATCATTATCCATAAATGAATGATAGCAAATGATACTGGTTTCAGTTAACACTAACCAAAAAAAAGTTCCCAGCACCTACTAGTCCACAGATGCAGAAATCATGAAAGAGTCACCAAAATTACAAAAACATCCAACCCACAAGCAAGCAAATACTGACAGTCAAATTGAGAGTGATTATCTCTTTTTTTTTTTTTTTTTGGGTGTTGTATTATATCATGAACTCACAAAACAGAGGGGGGCTTGACCTGACCTCTGGAATACAACACAGATTGTTAGACAATCAATACAAAAAAGGAGACAGTTAACCACAAAGTCTCCAAACTAACTACTATACAATTAACTAACAAAAAAATTGGCTTTGTCGTTATCCATCAAAAGAGGTCCTTTAGCTTTCCCTGGTAATTGCTGAAAGGAATGATATACGGCTCCCTCAGTCAATGTACCAGCTAACTTAGCGAGATAGTCAGCCACCTGATTGGCTTCCCTATAGCAATGAGATATCCTGATAGTTGCTTGATCCAAAATCTGCAATGTGTTTTCGATGATGTTTCTGAGGAGAAGGTTGCTAGTGAGTCTATTTCTCAACATGTTTACCACAACCGTTAGAAATGCACCATAGCACATCTGTTATACCCGTTAGAAATGCACCAGATCCCTCCATAATGTACAGCTAAAGCTTCTGCACAATTGTGGTCCTTGCATTGTACAAGGATAGCAAATGCAAAGATGAAATCCCCATGTTCATTTCTGACAATTCCACCTATTCCTGCTTTTCCACTCTCCTTCGAAAAACTCCCATCTGTATTAATTTTAACTTCTCCAGAACCCGATTTCTCCCATGTGACAAATATACTTCTGGAGATTGGCTTAAGCTTCTCAACATCCTCACAGATTCTACTCCAAGGCATACTCAGTTTGCAGCTAGGAAATGCCCTTGCAATTGTAGTCTTAATAGTCCATAAAATTTGGTGTTCCATGCTAGAAAGATAGAATTTTTTTGTTCTCCATATCTACAAGCACACCTGCTCTTCCAGAGAATGACAATAGGTGTTATTTGTATGAGCATTTTATGGACGGGGTTCATGTATTTACTTTGCCACCAGCTATTGAGGAACTCCCTCACAACAGTTCTATGGTATTTGATTCCCAAAGGTTGGCCAAACCTACACCAGAGGAATTGTGCAGTATCACTCTCAATAAACAAATGTTGGATAGTTTCACCATGAGGAGCAAAACAACAAGAGTAATTAGTCACTAACTGGATTCCAAATCTACTAATGGTGTCATCAAAAGGAAGTTTTCCTTTAATCAATCTCCAGGACAAAAAGGAAATTTTAAAAGGTAGACATGAGTGCCAAACCTTACTGCAAAGGTAGTTAATCTGGTTGTGTTTCCTAATACTCTGCCAGGCAGCATAATTAGAAAAATGTTCATCCGTAGATGTCCTCCAAGTGATGAAATCAGGCCTGTTTCTATCTCCAATATCTATTTTGACTATGTGTTGCACCATCCAGTTTGGTAGAGTAGCTTGTAACTTCTGCATATCCCATCCCATGTCATTAAAAAATTCATTCACCTTGCTTTTAGGAGAAGTTTGTAGTGTTGGGCATAGATTAGCTAAGGCTCCTTTTTCCGACCAATTATCCCACCAAAAGCTACATTCTCCATCTTGCAGTTTCCACACCATATTAGGTTTTGCTTTCTTTTTAATTTGCATAAGGCTCATCCAGTTATGTGAGTTCCCTGAAACTGCTACTTTGGCCACCGGGTGTGCTCTAATACAGTACTTGGCCTTAGTAAAGGTATCCTAAAGAGTGGGTTGGGATCTGAATCTCCACCACCTTTTCACTGTAAGAGAATCACATATGTCAGTCATTCTTCTAACTCCCACTCCACCTTCCTCTTTAGGATAGCATAGGTTTGCCCAAGAACTCCAATGATAATTGTTTTTGTCCCCATTTGAGCCCCAAAAGAATCTGGCAAAGTGCCTCTCCATCAAGTTAAGAATACTTTTAGGAGGATTTAATGATGTCATGGTGTAGGTAGGTAGTGACTGCAATACATGTTTAATCAAGATTATCCTGCCCCCGTAAGACAGCATTTTCCCTTGCCATCCATTCAGTCTCTTAATTATTTTAGCCAACATGTCCTCAAAGTATTCCACTTTTTTCCTTCCCACATATATTGGACAACCCAGGTAGTGGAAAGGAAACTCCTTTTTCCAAAAAATCAGTTGCTTCTCTGATTTTGTTGATCCTGTTGGCTCCGGTTCTTGGTGCAGTAAGAAAAAAATTTTTATCCTTGTTAACCTTTTGACCAGAGTTTTTTTCATACCACTTTATCTGTTTCATTATAGCCTTGATGGATTTAGTGTTGCCACTACTAAATACCACCAAATCATCTGCATATGCCAAATGGTTGATTGTGGGACCTCGATCGTTCATTGAAAATGGGATGAAATAGTCACTATGATTGAGCTGATTCAAAAGTCTAGACAAAGACCTCTGAACCAATGATGAACAAAGAAGGGGACAAAGGATCTCCCTGCTTGAGACCCTGTGATGATGTGAAAAATCCATTTCTCGTACCATTTACTAATATAGAATACCACACTCCAGATATTAGTTTTCCAATCATTTCTATAGTTCTCATTGAAGCCAAATCTCCTTAGTACTGCCATAAGAAAAGGCCAAGACATTCTATCGTATGCTTTGGCCATATCCAACTTCATCACCATGTTTCCCCCTATGTTTTTCTTTTTTATGTCCTGGACAATCTCCTGAGCCAACTGAACATTCTCTGTAATGAGCCTGCCCTTCAAGAAGCCACTCTGATTCTCAGAAATCAATGTGGTCGGCATAGGATTTAGCCTTCTAGATATAATTTTGGTTATGATCTTGCTGATAAAGTTACTCAAGCTGACAGGCCTCAGTTCTGAGAAACTAGGGAAGCAATACTAGAAGGGTATGAGTGAAAACTTCGTCAATGTTCCCCCGTTAAAAAAACTCTGAACAAAATCAGTGATGTCATTTTTAATGATATCCCAGCAACTGTGAAAAAACCTCCCACTGAAACCATCTGGTCCACCACAACTACTGGCACTCATACTGAACACTGCTTTCTTGATTTCCTCTTCTAGTGGAGTGCATGAGATCGATTCACTATCTTCATCTGTAATGCAAATAGTAATACATTGAAGGATTCTATGGTCCAAGACGGGTTGTTTAAGATTGAAAAGATCTTCGAAGTGTTTTATAGCAGCTTTGGAGATGTTCTCATTTCCACTCACCCATTTGCCCCTCTTATTCTTGATTCTATGTAGTTGTAGTTTCCTCCGCCTTTCTCGAATCACTGCATGGAAGTACTTGCTATTACAGTCCCCCTCCTCAAACCATTTGATTTGAGATTTCTGCTTAAGTAATGATTCCTGCTTGTTGAGCCACATTATGTATTCAGCGTGCACCTTGTTCATTTCCTCCGTCCCTTGCTCAGTATTGTACAATAGGTCAATATCTTCCAGATTTTGTACCTTTGCTTCCCATTCTTCCACTTGTTCATATACATCTCCAATTGTTTCCCTAGACCACTGACTCAATCTTCTCCCCACCTTCTTGAGTTTTTATTGCAGCCTCCACATAGGGTTACCATCAAAATGGTGATCCCATTCATTTCTAACAATTTCAAAAAATCCAGGTTGTTTGATCCAGAAATCTAGGAATTTGAAGTACTTAATTCCTGTTTGCTGGTCTGTTTTGCATTTCATAAGCAACGACCTACGATCTGATCCCACTCTAGCAAGGTGTTTCACTGTATTAGAACTGTACTTTTGCACCCAAAGATCATTCATAAAAACTCTATCTAACCTCTTCCAGATTCTCTTGCTAGGTCTCCAATTATTGCACAAGGTGACATTGGATCCAATAAATCCAATATCGGCCATCCCACAAGAATCCATACATTCAGCAAAGTCAAAAACTTCTATAATTTCTATGTGGTCTGCCTCCTACCTTCTCCTCCGGATCAAGAATAACGTTAAAATCCCCTCCGACGCACCAAGGATCAGTAATTCTTGAATTTAAATTTTCCAGATTGCTCCAAAGTTCTTTCCTCTCAGCTGTAGTGCACTTAGCATACACAGCTGTAACAAAGAACCAATCAAAAGAAACATTCTTCCTAAATTTGAGAGTAATTTGTTGTTCATGGTCAGAGACTACAACAGCCTGACAGTTATCTTCCAAAAACACCAAATGTGCCCATTTTGATTAGTAGTACAGTGTTGAAAAACCAAAAAAATTCTTGTACCCCTCCACTTTATTAGCATTAACAAAAGGTTCAAAAATCGCTACCATATCAACTTTGTTTATATATACTAGTTTTTTAAGCCTATGAATTGCTTTCTTTTTTCTCACCCCCCTTATATTCCATATAATTGCACTAATCATAAAAGAATATTTAGGAGTTTTTGTTGTCGCCTCCCTCACCAGAAGGTTCTGCTTTGTTTTTGTTGTTCTTAGAGGATTCTTTTGTCTACTTCTCCCCCTTTTTACTGGTGAAACACCATTCCTTTCACATACTTCCTTCATGTGTCGATGTGCATGATCTTCATCATTGTGATTGTCATTATGTTCGGCCACATTCAAAGGGTCATTGATGATTAATTCAGCATGCTCTTCATCTGTTTCTTCCACAATTTCTTGTGAGCTTTGTGCATTAGGGAGTTGACCAAAAATATCAACTACCAAGTTTATTGGTGCCTGTTTTTTCACATAGGATGGAAGACTGCTGCTTGATTCAGAGACAACATCCTCCTTCCTTTGGTTTTTAGTAACAGAGTGTTCACAATCTTTGTCGTCCGGGCCCTTGTTGAGATGTTGCATACCCTCACTAAATTGCTCATGTGTACCTCCTCTATCAACCTCTTCCTCCTTCTTACTATTGATTGTGCCTTGACTGGATTCTTGGTCGTGCCCATTTAACAATTTCTCCCCAATATGTGAGCTGATTTTCTCCTTTTGATTGCTTCTTTTTCTTAACTTTGCCTTTTCCTGTGAAAGCAGAGGTTTAAACATCACCTTGACTTTCTTTTTCGGAGTTTTGTTTTGTTTCTTCTTCTTTTTCTTCTTCATGGCCATCCTAGCATTCATCGTAGTCACCTCCTCATCAAAATCAGCTCTTCAGAGATAATACACACGCTACCAAACTAACCTCATATAGGAAGCAAACAGCTTTTAGTTTTCAATAACTATTATTCATAACAAGGCTCACAGCAGTGGTTTAAGTTCAGTTCAATCAAAATCAAAATCATAATCTAAATCAACAAAACTCAGGAATTCACTTACTACTACTCCCATCTTTCCTCAAACAAACAAACAAACCACAAAGACACAAACTTTAATAGTCAAACTCAAGTAATCATCCAATCAACAAAAATCAAGCTAACAGTAAAGCAAAGAATCAAAATTACATCAAAGTTTCAACTTTTTAACTCACTCAACAGCTGTTCTGAAGGAAATCAAGCTGGAATCTTGAAGTTTAGAGCACGACTCAGTAAAGTGCAAAGACTGAATTTTTATGGCTTCTTTCAAAGACACGGATCTCAAGGAAATTGATTGAAGCTAAAAAAAAGGACAAGATCAGGTGCAAAGGCGGATATCTAACATGGGCTCTCCTTAATAATAACGAATTTGCAGACAACAAAGCAGCAGAATAATCCAGTGGGAAATGGGAATCAAGAGCTGAACTATTCCAAAGAATTTTTCAAAGCTAAAAATTTTTACTGTAAGAAGATATCTTTAAAATAATATTCCTGTATGTCCTTTTTAGTTTATTTAAAAAACAAAAATCAGTTTCTATAACTAATTTAATATATTATTAATTTTTATCTTACTAAAATAATTTATATCACATAAATATTTATAACTTATTTAGATTATATATTTCTAAATTCTTTTCTTTCTAAGGTCTAAACTTATTTAAACATGCCACAGAAATAAAAATGTAGGAAAGCTAAGAGTGAGTCAAGAATGATGTGTCGAGAAAACACTACTTAAGAAGTCTGTCTTTTTAAGTTGTATCTGGTTGACCCCTTTTAATCATTACTTTTTCAAGGATTTATGTTTTCTAATGCTACTAGCTTCTCCTCATTTTTTTTTTTTTTTTTTTTTTTTTTTTTTTTTTTTTTTTTTTTTTTTGCTTAACAGTATGCTCTCCTAAAATTATGGGCACTTTTTACTTTCTTCAGAGATATAATGTGTTATCTATTTTAATAAATGTATTGTTTAGAGCTTAAGCACACCTTAATTATTTGATTGGATACATGCTTCCTTTTATAATTATCTGTTGGACAATATTTAATTGAAATTGAGAAAAAATAATTATTCATAGTTGAAGTTAAAAGAGAACATTTAAAAGTATTATCATTTTACCACCAAGACTTAAAAAAATATAAAAAAAAATGCCCTAGTGATATTTTATCTTTATTAAAATTTAAACCTTGATCTTTTGTGTCACTTTTTTGACATGATTTGTAATTAGTGTTAAGAACAATACTGATACAATTAATAAAAACCTTAAGCTTCATTCTAAATTATGCGAAAATGCAATATGACAATATTTATGCGAATGAAGAAGTTTAAATAATTTTACATAAAAGTATCAAGGAATTGTTTGAAGATTTCATATAATTGG